CAGTGCTGCTTTTGACATAGTTGATTACAATGCTCTTTTAGAAAGGCTTGAACATGTTGTAGGGATCAAGGCTTGAACATGTTGTAGGGATCAAAGGAACAGCGCTAGGCTGGTTTAAATCCTACCTGTCTGATAGACATAATTTTGTAAATGTACGTGACAAATCTTCTCCATACTCCAGGGTTACTTGTGGAGTACCACAGGGTTCAGTGCTTGGAACAATGCTTTTAATATATATATATATATATATATATATATATATATATATATATATATATATATATATATATATATATATATATATATACTGTGTATATACAAATGGTAAATGGCCTGTACTTGATATAGCGCCTTCTAGAGTCCTGGAACCCCCAAGGCGCTTTACAACACAATCAGTCATTCACCCATTCACACACACATTCACACACTGGTGGGGATGAGCTACGATGTAGCCACAGCTGCCCTGGGGCGCACTGACAGCACAGGCGCCACCGGTCCCTCCGACCACCACCAGCAGGCAACGTGGGTTAAGTGTCCTGCCCAAGGACACAAAGACAGCAACAGACTGAGCGGGGCTCGAACCTGCAACCTGCCGATTACGGGGCGAACACTTAGCTCCTGTGCCACCGTCGCCCCATATATATATATATATATATATATATATATATATATATATATATATATATGCTCCCAATTGGTAAAATCATTAGACAACATGGGATAAACGTTCACTGTTATGCTGACGATACTCCGTTATATCTATCCATTAAACCTGATGAACCTAATTGGTTAGTTAGATCACAGGCTTGTCTTGAAGACATAAAAAATTGGACCACTCAAAACCTTTTGCTTTTAAATCAAGACAAGACTGAAGTTCTCATCTTTGGACCTGAAATTCAGAAAAGGAAATTGCTTAGTCAATCACCTGACCTGAATGGCATTACATTAATCTCCGAGAACAAAGTAAGGAACCTTGGTGTTTTCTTTGACCAGGACATGTCATTCAAATCCCATGCAAAACAGGTTTTTAGGACTTTCTTTTTCTACCTTTGGAATATTGCTAAGGTTAGTTGCATCCTTTCCATGAGTGATGCTGAAAAACTAGTTCATGCATTTATTACATCAAGACTGGATTACTGTAATTCATTACTCTCAGGAAGTCCACAGAATCTTCCCCTTAGTGTTCGACAGGCCCCAGAACTGGGTCGATTTAAGTCAGTACTGAAGGCCTTCTTCTATCATTTAGCTTTTATTCAAGGATCTAGTTTAAAGTGTTTTTACATTTTATTGTGGCTCTGTATTTTATTCGTGTATGTTTCTTTTACAATTTTTTTAGATTTTACCTCTTACCTCCTAAATGACTTTTATCTGTTTTTATCTTGGGGTTTGTCCTTTTTACTGTACAGCACTTTGGTCAGCTGTCATGCTGTTTTTAAATGTGCTATATAAATAAACATGGTATGGTATGGTAGAATGTAGTTAAAAGTCTTCAGCTTGTCCAAAATGCTGCAGCTAGAGTTCTGATGAGAATTAAAAAGAGAGATCATATCTCTCCTGTCTTGGCTTCCCTACATTGGCTGCCTGTTAAATTCAGAATAGATTTTAAGATCCTTCTTCTCACATATAAAGCTCTTAACAATCAAGCTCCATCACACATCAGTGACCTGATTGTTTCATATGTTCCTAACCGAGCACTTCGCTCTCAGACTGCAGGTTTACTGGTGGTTCCCAGAATGTCTAAAAATGGGATGGGAGGCAGATATTTTAGTTATCAGGCTCCTCTCTTGTGGAACCAACTCCCAACTTTAGTCTTTGAGGCAGACACTTTGTCTACTGTTAAGACTAGGCTTAAAACATTTTTATTTGATAGGGCCTATGGTTAAAATCTGATGTTAGCCTAGATCTGAAGAAGTGGGAGAGTAGAGGGAGGTGGAGTGTACAGTCCGTAAAGACGACTCTCCCTTGCCCTGCCTCCAACATGCCTCCATCTAAAAGGCTAGGTTATCCAGAGTTATCTCTGTAGTTATGCTGCTATAGGCCTAGACTGCTGAAGGACACACTGACCACTTTCCACACTCTACTACTTTCTTCTACAATCTGCTCTTTAACTATTATTTCCTGCAATTTCAGCTGTTAACTTTATTTTCTCTCTAAGTGTTTTTCTCCCCAGAAGAAGCTACAATGATGTTCTGCTGAGCTGTAGTAGCCTCATGGAGGGGGCCATCATCTAGCACACTGTTGCTAACCACTTAAACATTCTCCCTCTCGTGATAATAACATTTTACTTTCCTTGACGTTGAATGTGCTACTGCTAGTTTATCCGTTTAATCATAGATTCACTAGGATAAATACAATAAAGTTTATCTCTCACCAAATAGAATATTTACTAAGAAATCACAATGTAACCATGGAAACATTACTTGGTGTGTGTGTGTGTGTGTGCGTGCGTGCGTGCGTGCGTGTGTGTGTGCGTGCGTGCGTGCGTGCGTGTGTGTGTGTGTGTGTGTGTGTGTGTGTGTGTGTGTGTGTGTGTGTGTGTGTGTGTGTACTCTGTCTTCTTGATCCCCTGTGAGTCATGGTGGATGGCTGCTTATACTGAGCCAGGATCCTCTGGAGGTTTCTTCCTGTTAAAAGGGAGTTTTCCTCTCCTCTGTCGCTGCATGCTTGCTTAGTATGAGGACTGCTGTAAAGTCACTGACACTAGTCAGTGACTCGATGCAATTTGCTCAGTTCCTTATATAGGAAACTTTTTTCTGATTGGCTTAATGAATTGATCTGTATTGGAATGTTTATTATGTGAAGTGCCTTGTGACGACTCTTGTCGTGATTTGGCGCTGTATAAATAAACTTGAATTGAATTGAATTAAAAGCGGATTAGAAAATAGCTCTTTTAGCCCCGTTGACTTGCATTACATTATTTGCTTTTTCCGGGGACCCATGAGCCGACCGGAAAGGGAGGAGACTTAGGCTCCCTATTGTTGGTAATCAAATTACTCTATTACTTCCAACATGGAGGTTAGAATGCATACCAAGGGTCCAAAACTCAGAATTAAATGGCAAGCCCTCAACCCACTTTTACAAAAGCAGTCCACTCATGCTGTCGCTACAAATCTGGATCGAGTGTAATAGTATCCCCATCCCCTCTTCAAATTTCCTTGCTATGAAAGGTTTTGGTAATGATTTCTTTCTACTTCCTAATATTTTTTACAAAAGTGCTACACCAGTAATATTTTATCATCCTTCTGTGTATTTGCAGTACACACTGATGTGGCACAGAACTGCATCTATTTGATGTGTTTGAATAAACTCAAGGAAAACAGACTTAACAAGGTCTTTTTCATGCTGATAAGGCACATCAGAGGAGTGAAGCGCTGATGTTAATGCCAGGTGTGAAAAGGACCTTTGATTCTGTTGGCTGTCCTGAAAGCAATCCTTCCTCTTTAAAGATGCACGCAGATTACGAGATTTATAAAATCCTATAAATTTCATTCAAAACTGTAAACTCAGAAGACCTGCACCTTTAGGACAGGATGCATGGCTCAACATTTTTTTTTATGCGGCATCGTTCTTTGTTTAGTCCAGATAAGAGCAGGGAAAAACATCAAACTAGTAAGGCTTCTGCTGATCTGTGATAAAAAGTCTATTGTTACGACTCTGGATATTTTTACTGTATTTATACAATTTCTTCCCACTTTCTTACAGCTAAGCTGTGTCAGTGTTATGTTGACTGGTGAATAAGTGCATACTGCATAGCTGTTAGTTGGCTGATAGCTGCAGGCACCAATAAGATGGTAATTTATTGCTGAATCTCTGACATCAGAAATCCTGTGCAAGACAATTTCTTCACAGTTAAAAGTGGGGATGTGCTTTACAACTTGTTCTTTGTGCATCAGTTTGTAAATAAAAGTGAAAACAAAATCTGTGAACTCTGTTTTTTTTAATATTGACAATTCTTTTAATTTCTAGGCTTCCTGTTTTCTATACAAAGCCAATTATCAATTGTAATACAAAAATCTCACAGACATAGTTGATATTATTTTGCTTTAAAGTTAGCTTTAGCATCAAAAGTGTAATCTGCCTGCAGCACACCTCTTCCCCTCAACTCACTGCAACTGCTCCTCTAATTGTTGTAAGGAAATGCCAGAGTAGCTAGAGTACATCCTTATATTAGCATACTGCTAACCAGTGGCGGCTCGTCCATAAGGGGTGCTAGGGCGCCAACCCCACCAGTCTCACAGCAAGAAGAAGACAGGAATCACAAAATATAAAAAAAAAAAACATGAAAATCAAACAAAACGATCTATATATCATACAGACTATAAGCCCTGTGCATGATCTGCTTTGAAGTGTAGTTTAAAAATATTATTTCACACCTTCACCACAACCGAATCATCTTGACATCTTCTTGACATATTTTGTGTTACTTTCGGGCACAGCCGTCTTTACCATAGACCTACGCTATAACTGGCTCATGCGAGCTGGATGCCCCTCCGATACAAAGAATAGGAGAGCCTTTGGATACGTGAGTATTGGGATGAAACCTGGTGGTCTCACCCCCCTTCGGAACCGGAAGCTCCCCACAGTTCAATGCCCTTTATTTTTTGTGTGTGTGTTTTAGCTCACAGTTCTTTGTTTTTTTTAGAGCAGCTGAGTACACCTCATGGACTTTATTTTATTATGAAGAACCAGAAAATGATGTACCCCACCCTAAAAAGATTCACCAGTTGCCACTGCCGCTAGCTGTGAAATTTTGTCCATGTTCCACAGAAATCACAGGCTCATGTACTATTGCCATTTCGAGCTCTACTTTTTTACTTATGTAAAGCATTTATGCAAAGACCGTCTTAGTCAAGATTCCCAATGCAAACTTTTAAAAGGCAGCTGCCTAACAGCTGAATCAGCCTTTTGGGAAGTGTGGCTCTAAAGAGACAGGTGCAAACTGGAAATTACAGAGACTCTGTAAACCAAAATATATACATAGGGTAAAGGAAATAGCTTACTTTGACGTCAACATGTGCCATTAGCACTGCAAAGTTGGTGAGATGAGTGCAGGAGCACGTGGTGTGTGTCCTGTTGGTGCTCAGCAAGCGGCAGTCCTGCGTGGACCAGTAACCAGTCATGGTTTTCTTGGAGTAGCTCCAGAATGAACAGTTGGGGTTGAAGTTTTCCTCTGATTGCTGTTTGAAAAAAAAAAAACATACAAACCTATGAGTAGGACTAAAGTGCTCACTCGCTGTGTGAAACCCAGGTGTCAGATTAATCATCAGTGAGTCATATCTGGTTTCTTTTATTTGTGTGGCAAAGATCTTTTTAAAAAGGAGCTAATTTGTCCTTTTCAAATCCATTCTTAAGTGACTAGCTGGCGCTTTCACTGCCATAAAGCGTCGGGCGGCCTCATGACTGGTTTTCATTGTGTTTTTTGACCTTTCTCTTTAACTTTCACTGCATGACAATGGACTGCCCTACTGTTTAATAGGCTCCAATGGTGTCTATGCAGGGCAGTCGTCCTAATGACAAGCCAGCCTCCCTGCTATCTCGCTTGCCATTTTATAAAAGTCATCCACGACACAAAGGCTTAATAACACAACCAAATGTAACTGCTGATAAACCGACACCCTGAAAGCCTTTTCCTCTTGAGTCTAATTTCTTTTATAGCTTCAGAAACAAAGCAAGTACATTCACCTCGCCTTTACTTCCTCGTCGCATCCAAGGTTGTACATATGTCCGTTGAGGAGCTTGATTTTTTTCCATAGTTTCCTTTTTGTTGCATGACAATTAACCTAATAAGGTTTATCCTCTGTGAATGCAGGTTTTCCACTGATTGCATTTACCCTTCACACATCTGAACCTTGTGTAAACTATTTCACAGCAAGGAGATGGGATGACCCTCTGTCACCATTAATGACTTTAATTGGTCCCATTAAACGAGGAGGCAAGGAAGCGAAACAATAACTAGAGGACATGTAATCATCCCAGAGGAGCAGTAGACCAAAACCTCATGGTTAAGAGGGGGAATTAACTGTGAGGAGGCAGAGAAACTGAAACCCCCTCCTCAATAGCAGATGATACAGGTTTAGATGTTTCATTTCAATGGCGAAGCTGGAATAGACGGAGCACACTGAATATTAAACACCTTCAATTTAGTGTGTGAGCATTAAGTACCTGCCTCAACTTAGTCGCCGGATACAGTGGTGGGAAAGGAAATATTTCCTTTCACAATTCATTATACATTTTAACTTGAGTTAATTAAAAATTCATTTTTTCAAATAACGGTTTTGTTTAAGGGGAAAAAAAAGCATCCAAACCGACCAGCTCCCTATCTGTAATAAGTGGTTGTAATTGCCTTGGTGTCAACAACTGAAAACATCACTATGAAGGATGTTTGTTTTACCATTCTTTACATAATTGGCTGAATTCAGACCCATTTCAGAGTTTTCCAGCATAAAAGGCATATTTAAGGTGTTGGGAGTATTGTAACGCAGATTTTAAAGCAAAGCAAATGGTGCTTATTTGCTTGTGCTTCCTTTCGGCTTTTACGAATGCTGGTTGGTTTAGACGTTGTCTGCTGATGTCATTTTCTAATGTGTTACAACCAATCAGTGTGAGTTCACCAGTAGTTCTGCTCAGCTACTCTAGTGAGTCTTTTCGAGTGCCTGCACCTGTTCCAGGACTCGGTTGGTTACGGAAAATGACCCAGTAAATGGCTCGTTTTGCCGGTCTGGTGAAGTGGAGACACGCGCATGCCGGGAAGTTTTGGTTAAATTTGGGGGGGGGGGGGGGGGGGGGGGGGCACAGCCGGCAGGAGGACTGGGGGCGGGAATCTTTACAGTAAGTTCTGATGGGAAACAGGCTTCAACACAAGCGGTTGTTTTCCGCTTGGTCCTAGTGCTCAACCAGTGTCTGTTTAATATAGCATAATGTTGTTTTTGGATGGTAAAAATTGCAGGGGACGAAAATTTACTTTGGAAGAAGTGGGGAGGACAACTTTACATTGTCAGAAGGCATGTTAAAGTGGTTTAACTCTACATGCTAGGCAGTAATCAGGTCTCTGTGTTTAATTTAAATCCATTTATTTAAATAATGTGGCTCATAATTTCATATAGAGGGCAGTAACTTTTAGAGCTAGTTTTTGTATTTACTTGGGCTATCTTTGTCTAATTTGAAACATTCTGTAGCAAAACCTTCCGATTACTGGACAAACCACTCTACCTCCTGAGCTACTGCTGCCTTGGCTGAATCAATAATTTCCCTTCAGGCTACAACCACTTCTGTCACCCAATTTAAAATTACATTTTTATTTCACTAAACATTATTTTTAGCTTGTAGTTATAAACAGCCTCAGAGAACCTATTCATTTGAAGCTGCTCTAAATAGCGCCTGTGATTGGTTTACCGGAGCACGGAGCCCTCGATTTGATGTGCTTGTCAATGTTGTGCATCAATATCTTATCCAATCAAGTTTAATTAGCAGTGTAAGCCAAATTCAAAATCATGATTACTACCTGATTAATTGTACAGCGTCTACTATACACAAAATCTACTCTATATGTAAATGCAGGTGTGTTCATGACAGGTTTACTCAAAAAATAAAAAAAATAAACTGCAACAGTAGCACTTCTGCCACATCCAAATGTTAGAAGTCAAGGAAGCTTTTGCAAAAAGGGCACAGTTTCATTGAAATTGTGTGATCTTGGCAAGACAAGGGTGAAAAAACAGTAAAACTAGTGTTCAAATTACAAATTCTATTTAGGGCAGGTGAGTCAGAGCAATAACTACTCTGGAACTGTACTTTGACATTTTCCCACCATTTAATTTCACATCCTTGAGCTAAAAGTCCTTTCATTTTATCTGCTGTTGCTGCTTTCCTGCAGGTCCCTCCTACTCACACGGAGCGGAAAAAAAACCCTGCTGTAACTATCCTAAGGTTGTTCAACATCTCTGATAATCGCTGGAGGTGCTGTTTGTAGACAAAACAGGGATATTTTGAGGGTAGCGGAGTGTGGAGTGGATAATGGAGGGGAGAGGGAGAAGTCACGGCTCCCCACGATGACTAAGCAGCTTCCAGTGATGGCAAGGATGACTGATATTTGTTCTTGACGATCAGGCTGACGTTCAGACTAATAAACACCAGCATGCCTCCTCACCATCGTGGTGTGAGCATCGTGCTGTTTGTGGCTGTTTCATTTTCACACCTTTATATGAGTAAATCATCTTCTTTCTTTACCTTTATTTAATTCTGTTTTTATAGGGTTGCAACATTTTTATGTTACGCCTCACGATAAGGGGAAATTATGGTAAAAGGTTCTATCAGGAGAAGCGCAACGGTTGAATGTGCTCAATGCGTAAACAAATGAAAAAAGACCAAAAGCACATTAAAAGCAGAGGCGCTGACTTAGATCCACATGGAGAATGGAAAATTACCTGCAGATGCTTGATGGTAAAAACGACAGGATCAGAGAGATAAACTTTGTTGGCATCCTTGTTGATGGCGGCGGTGATAACTGGTGAGTTGACAATGACGGAGTAATTGGTAGCCAGGGCTTCGCTTCCCAACTTCATGCTGGCGTTCTCCGTTGAAAGGTAAACACCGATGTGTTTATACAGGACAAATGCAATTCGAATTTCACCTAGAGGTGAAAAGCAAGTTTGTTTTTTTACAACACAGATTAAACCACATAGTTAACTTTTTTGGCAAAACTTTTCAAATGATTTACTTCCTGTCCAGCTGTATTCTCTGAGCTATAAAACTACACATTGCATATATTTGATGGATTAAAGTTCAGCTACATTTACAAAAGTATACATAGTTTCATTTAAAATTATAAGATCAACATAAGCCATCCTGTTTATAGAAAACTGAAATGGGGTCCCTCAAGGAACGATCCTCGGTCCGGTCTTTTATAGTCTGTATGTTAATATTCTTCCAAATGTCCTGATGTTGGCTAAATGTTGGCATGCTGGTCTTTTTAAAAATAAATAAAAATCTATAATAAATGTATCCATTGGGGGACAAAACAGTCCATGGAGATGTTCCAGTTACCAAACCTTTTAGACCAATAACACAACTCATCTCACGTCTGACAAAAGCACAACAATGATCTCAGACTTTTAGACGAATACTAAAGTGTCTTGTTCCATCTGGTGTAAAACTAACACATCTATGAAAAATAACATAATGACAACAGTAGGGCATGGTGGTGCTAGTGTGATAGTTTGGGGCTGTTTTACCGCTTCAGGACCTGGACCACTAGGTGCAATTGATGGAACCACGAATGCTGCTAGCAGAAAATCCTGAAGCAGAATGTCTGACCTTTGATCTTAAACAGGCTTTTGATGCTCTCCAATCTGTCTAGGTCAAAACAATTCTGTAAGGCAGAAGAAAAATTCTTTCCTAAAGATGTGAGAAACGCACAAGCACTTTTTCTTATGCTTTTTAGATTCCCTTGGGTTTATTTTTTTCTCTATCTCTCTATATCACGCCTGGGGGGCAACTTGGAACTTTGTCATGTGGCGTGTTGGGACTGGGGATCAATCCTATGACCTTCGGATCATACCCATTTAGCCACTGTCGCCGCTAATTACAATTACTTGATTACAGTTGTTGCCGCCATGGGAGTTTGACTTTAGGTGGTGAATTGCTTGTTAATATCTGACCAGGTTGATCTCAATAGCTATATTAATTCCTTTTATGAAGTTAAATAATTTTTAAAACGTATCTTTGTCTTTTGAATTTTGCTGATTTGAAACAATTAGGTGCAACCAAAAAGCAAACATTTTTTCACACCATTTCACATAAATGAACCCAGAAATTCCTTCCTGCTGTGATAGAAATCACTCAAGCACTCAACTGAGGCTTTGGTTTTTAACAAAACCAATTTGGATGCTGTGGATGATGTAAACCCCCCACCATCCTCCTACCACGATCTGCCTATGCACGGCTGGACATGAAGTTAGGCTATCTAACTAAGAAGCATCCAGAACAGCTTGAGTCGATTCTGATTTGCATGAAATGGCAATAAAAAGGGAAAAAAATGGGTCAGTGCTGATCTGAAAGAGGACAGCAAACTGTGTCTAACCACCTCATTTACAGAGTGAAGGCAGTTCTTAAATATGACCAATTCAGCAGAAAGATCTAACCACTCTATACGGAGACCAATGAACAGCAGTATATTGTATTCACAAGTATCTGTAATAAAGGAAGAAGAAAAATTGGACCTATAGGATGGCAGTACATTTCTTACACAAACAATATCCCTGTGGTAGTTTTGTCATTTTCTATGCATTTGGTTTGCTGTCACAATGCTCCAGTTTAGAGTCCACACTGCGAGAGGACAAGAGCAAACTCAAAGGGGTTTTGTCGTCTTACCATTCCTTCCATGCTGCTTTAGCGTATTAGCCGAGAGATGGATGGAGTTGCCTTGTCCTCCACCTTGTGGGAACTTCAGATCAGGCAAATTCCCATCTGTGCTCATCCTGGCTACCTCCAGCTCTGCACACAAACAAGACATTAAGGAATCACTGAAGTGCTTTAAGTTTAACCAAGCCTGTTGTTATATGACAATTCTCGTAGTTTTTACTCCTCACACAGATGTTTGACTCCACATTTAAAACACAGTTAAATTTTCAGCTATCCCTTAGAAAGTTATTTATAATATTCAACTTTAAACTTATCACCAATAGTGTCCTAAATAAAAAAAAATATACTTCTAGCCTAGTTTAGACTTCACCATCTGCAGAAGTACAGAGAAACACAACATCATTACTCGTGATCGCAAGGGTTTTCCAACAGGCACGCAAGGATGAACGGAGTAGAACCCAATTTTCTAACTACCCGTCAACAGTGACGGAGACCAGAAGCTTGTGATTGGTCAAGATGCAGCTTCCTTTAAATTCATCAACAGCACTGTCATCCCCCTCAAAAAATAAAAATAAAATAAAAAACTAGAGTCGAGTATATCTAAGGGAAATCATGGAGCAGAGTGGAAAAAGTCTGACGATATAAACAAGACAACCGTGACTGAGGGAGTACAAAGATACGCAGCAGACTTTTTATTCGTGAAAGGAAGTTGCGGGTAACGTGGGCCCGGAGGTGGTGACTGCATCAAGAGTAGGAAGGACAAATTTGATCATGTTAAAAGTCTCTGAAATACATAAACACAATGTAAACACACAAGAGACTGCAATAGTGTCAGGATACCCCAGAAAAGTGCTACGCCCTCTGTTGTCCTGGTGGAGAATTGCTTCACAACCAACACACCAACAGAGAAGTAATAAAGGATATTTACAGGTGACAATTTTTCTTAAAAACAACCTACACTTTGGCTTTTTGAGGGGGAAAAAATTATATCAAGGATTCATTTTCTCATTAAGAGCAGAGACAGCATGAGATTGACGGAAAAAGATAAAGAGCCGCCTGTACAGCCGCTCAACAGCTGCTGTGTCTGACACAAGCTCCTCATTTATGGCTCAAAGATTTCTGAGTCAAACAGAAAGAAGAAAATGAGCTGGTGATAGGAGATTGGCTGAAATAAAGAGCTCATTCTATCAAAGTTGTTAAGGTAAGCTACAATCAAATTTAATAAAGTAGTTCGGTGTTCTCTAGTCTTGAACAGTGGCAATCTGTATGTAGTCTCAGCATTCCTAAATGTCAGACTGACTTTCAACGATCTGAGAGGAATTAGCAGATTTGTCCCTATGCAGACATTGACCACAGACATCCAGTCATTAAAAAAAACATTTGATAAACTCAGGTTTCAGTTATACGGAACACAATGCAGGACTTTCCTGTGTGCTTGTAAAAGGACAGTCTACATTAGTTTTAAATCCCTCTCAAGAATTAGCCACACAACTTCATGAAACCTGTTGAAACCCTGTCAGACACGTGCATTTTAAAGGTTAGATTATAATTGGAAAGAGGTTACATCGACAGTCACTTTCAGGGAGCATAACGTTTCTTATTCTATCATTAGAAAACTGTAAAAATGTATTAAATATTTCATCGGTTTAAATGTAACGTCTTCTCATCCGGCAGATCTGTGATGTTAATTCAAACTTCAAATGAGAGCAGCTACATGTGTACCTATCTATTCAGATGACTCTAAAATAATTTTTACTCGAGAGCTTGTAGCATGTTCATATAAGATTTCCTACAGGTTCTTGTGGAAGTAAACACTGACTTTCCAAACAAAAGTAAGCAGGTCTGTTTTAACATGTACCACAGATCTAAAAAGAAATGTGCTGCAAACAACAAATAAACAAACTACATTGTAACATTTTTACTGTTTAAGCTTTTTTAAATGGATTTGTTAAGAAAATCCCAAGTTATTTTTTAGTTTTTTTTTTTTTTGCAAGTAGTAAGTGGTGGCACTTCCCTCGCCTTTTGGCGTTCAGTGTCTCCTATTGCCAGGAGACACTGAACGAGACACGAGACACTTTGGGCAGGTCACTAGTCCATCACAGGGACACACAGAGACATGCTGCCATTGCATATACACTCACCACTAGAATTGTGCTCTCCTTCAGGACTCATCTGATGGAAATCCTGTGGCATTTCTGGCCAATTAGACTGTAAGGCTGCACAACTAAATTACATATTAAGTAAGTGCTTCCATTTTTTCTCAGGTAAAACACAGAAAAGCAGGCGTTTGTTACAGTAGCACCACTCATCACTAGTTTGAAAACAGTTACCGTGTCTTTGGGTGAATTAAACACGACTGTAGGGGGCCAAAAACCTCATTAATTACTTAGCCAACAATAACTTGTTGGTTTCGGTTGTCTTTTAGTACAATAATGAATCATTGGTAGTAATAATTATATATACCTTTATACTTTTGTTTAACTATTGCAAAGAAAATCTTTTTAGGAAGTTGGATCAATCTCTCTGGCGCTTAAAGAGCAAGTCACCACCACCAGAGTTTTATTTCCTGTTTGAAAATGCAACAAATGCTGTTGCCTAGCAGACCGAGAGGTGGAGCCGCTAACAAATACACGCACACACAGGCTCATAACGACATTGTGACATCATATGGTACCAGCTTATACCTTCTTAGCCAATAGCGATGGCAGATTTAAATTCAAATGCAGTGCAGAGTTTTTACCTGACAACGGCACAACACTGCCAGTTTTAGGCAGAAAATTACAATTGTAACTAAAATGCACTAAAGTGCTAAACTGTTGACTACATGTGTCTGCAGCACGATTAGACACGCATTTATATAGTTTATCAGAAAAAAATAGTTGATTTGGAGGTGACTTGCTCTTTAAGCTGAAAATGGGGATTTAAAACAAAAGATTTTATCACTTTTTTCAGTGATTATTTTTTGCCCATTCCATCCATGTCAATCAATTATTTGTAAATGTTAAAGCTTCTGGTAACAGAAAGTCAAAAGTCTAACTTTTTTAATTTGTGACATAAGAGTATTATCACACCCAAAAATATGACTTGTCTTTGCAACATGGACTGTTAAGTTACCAGTACTAGTAAAAGTAGATTTTTTCTTTATAAATACAATTCATTAAATTGTATAACACATTATATATTTTTTTGTGTTCAGAAACACAAACAAATCTGTATTTTTACTGAAGGTCATCACATCAGAATTTTCCAACGGCCTATGCCTCAGTTTCTTCAATAGAACCTGTGTTTTCACTAATCATTGTGACAAACTGAGTTGGTTGACTGAGTAGCTCAGCACAAACCATACCATACCACACCATACTATACCATACCATACCATACCATACCATATTTATTTATAAAGCACCATTTCAAAATAGCATGGCAGCTAACCAAAGTGCTGTACATAAAAAGGCCAAATGCTTGAACAAGAAACACAATAAGAACAGGCAAAATACAGAAGAACAAAACATGAATAGTCGGAGATAAAAATTCCCACTAAAAACAATAAAATAGGAGAACAGTTAACAGCACTATAAAAAAATAAAATAATGCAACGAATGATAAAAACATTTGAAATGGCACAAATAAAATGAAATAGGCTACCAGATGCCAAATATTGCATTTACAAGTGGTTAGCATCTCAAACTGAACACGAAGGGCCAACAGTCTTCCCTGGGGTGACTAGAAAATACATACAAAGACTTTTAAAAATCACAACAACTCCAATAACTGCAAAAACATGACATAAAAACATGGGAGTTTGACTTTTGTCCAAAAACTGACATTAACACACAAAAAAATGGCTTCTCCGGTTAGAGGTTGCCACTGTTCCTACTTAAGTTTGCTACTGTGACACAACCAGTACAGGAGTTTAAACTGTTGCTGCGGCAACACTAACGTGGACTGGAAGATTAGTCTGAAGTAGAGGCTCTCATCTTGAAACAACTCCAACAAGTGTAAGAAACGGATCCTTAATTAAATCCGATAAGGAATTCTGTTCGTGTTCCGATGCCACAATGACACACTGACTTTGATAAAGGTTAGTACAAACAGAAAGCTGCGTAGAGGGCACATTTAATCCTTTCTTTGTATCTGTTTTCATACCATGGCTTCATAGTTTTTTTTTTATTCTTTTGTATTAGTATTCTCTTGTGCTTTTATAAGGGCCAGAGGGGAGTTTGATACATTCCTATTCAACTTAGTTAAGACAATACCCCAGATAACGCACCATTCCCTGGATTCCTAGGCCTGCCTTTTGAATAAAGGAAGCATTTTTCTTCTCCCTCTTTGCTCTCGTTTCCCAGCGTGGCTGTGTAAAAGAGCTTACCATGGGCTTTGGGGAATTTCTTTGATGCCATTGGAGTTGTTGGACCCAAAGGCTATACCTTCAAAGCGGGTTTGAATAACGCTAGCTAATCGGGGGAAATCTGTTTATGAGATTATCGCGGAGAGTCTGATGCAAACTCTCTGGCAGACAAAGCCCCAGACGTGGACTGTAAAGTGTAAACACAAACAGACACAATGGTGGAGGAAATATCCTCCGGAAGAATGGTGGGGAAGAGAAACCTTCAGCTTGAGTTGCAAGGCCTTGTTTTCTATGGGATGTAAGACTTTCTTGACCAGCCCACCTTATCACAAAGAATCTGCACACACACCAAACCCTTCACATAACAAGAAAGTCAAAGTGAATGATCAATCATTAGCTGCTGCGGTGATTAATAATGTTTCAAAGGGACCTCCTCGTCCTCATTTAACAACCCTGCTAGCATGAAGGATTACAGGAGCCGACTGGCTGCTAAAAAATAAAATAAAATGAGCCAAGCAAACAGAGAGATAAGGCCTAGTAAACATGTCACCAACACATAATTAACCACGCTACCACTATGAGCTGTAAAATCTCCGTTGGGCTGTGAAGGCATCGACTCATTCCCCCCTTCTCTTTAAACGAGCTCAGAATCTCCTTAATACCCAGATGAATTGTGTGCCAGATACAATAAAACCCCCTTTTATTAATTCTCCTTACGCTAGCTTCCTTTTAAATAACTAGACCTATATTTTAGGTTGCCATAGCAGCAAGAACATGAAAAAAAATCCCACATGCTAAGAGAAGACCGTTATACATCATGACTTGATTTTTTTTCTAATTCCCTCGCTTCAATAGCTTTAGAGCTGGAGAAAAAAAATGTTTTGCTTCCCATTAAAAACGGCAGATATAATTCTAAGTTTCAACAAATGTATCTAGGTTTGGATTTGCCCCACAAGGGAAAACAGTAATGGCGTGAGTTTCATCATCTGGGCTGGGTTGGTATTAATACGGTGAAAAATGACCCTTGATCTGCACGAGTGGTTAATTCTAGATAATAACAGGCGTGAATTTAAACATAATGATGAGATAAATGTCAATTTTTCAGCTGACTGCTATCAGCCTTAAGTAATCCTGTAAAACCTGACCTCCAGAAAGAGAGAAGCATCTCTCCAGTGACCTTCACACTTGATCCAGTGCCTCAAACACTATGCTGTCGATACCACAGGGCCCTGGATCAATACCTCATAGCCTCTGTACAACTAGGACCAAAGGCAGAGCTACTCCAGATTCATAAAGTGAGATAAATAAAAGAAAATACAAAGCCAAACATTCAGCTATTTAAAATTGTCTTTTTATTGTTTAAGTGTCATAACTAGCAAAGCAGAGTACTCCAAATGAGGAGTTTTTTCCTGTGCAGCTTGAGTAATTTGCTCTAAGATGGTTTAACACTTGTAGACAAAGACGACCAAATTAAATGTAATTTGTTTGCTTGAAAACAACGTGTTTCTGTCTTCAAGCACAAAAAAGGGGAAAGAATCCAAACATTTAGAATCTGCTTTAACTAAAGCACAGGGACATTTTTGACTGAAAATGCACCGGCAGCGCTGCAAGGTGGTGCATTTAACAAGTGTTACCTGTACACATACGTATATGTTGTGACAGCGTGTGCAATTATGTTCTAGTAAAGAACTAAAATGAGTCAAATATTTCTAATTAGGAGGTTTTATTCCCTGTGTCACGAGGGTTACCCTGTGGTGGAATGAAATACGGTGGGAGGTGGTGGGAGACAGAAGGACACGAGCAACACTGTCTCCCACCCCAGGCATAAGCCTCTAACAGAACTGGAGCTCCTTCAGTGGAAAACAACACCCCCCCAGTCCAACCCCTTAAAGCTGAGTGTCAAGAAGAAGAAGAAGAAGAGATCATTTCTATAGCATCTCTCAAGATAAAAATCACGAGGCGCTTCACAAAAACAAAAAATGTAAAAATATAAAAAAGCATTTAGAAATTTTTTAAAACTATATTTAAAATGAGCAAAAATAGACAATTGTGATTTAAAAAACTGTTAAGAAAGAGACAGAGTGAATAGGAAAGAGGGAAATCAGTGGATCCTGAGGAAGGTGGAATAGGTGGGGAGAGCAGAATAAAGGGAGAGAGGTGAAGAAGGTCATACAAAAGCCAGCTTGAACAAGTGAGTCTTCAGCTGCTTTTTAAAGGAGACCACTGAGTCCACTGATCTCAGGCTCAGGGGGAGAGAGGTCCAGAGTCTGGGGGCCACAGCAGCAAATGATCTGTCACCTTTGGTCTTTAGCCTGGTGCACTGCACAACCAGTAGGCTTTGATCACTGGACCTCAGGGACCTGCTGGGGGTGTGGGGACTAAGAAGATCACCAATGTAAGATGGTGCTTGTCCATGTAAGGCCCTATAGACCAGAACCAGGATCTTGAAATGAACCCTGAAGTTGACTGGCAGCCAGTGAAGCTGGAGGAGAAGCGGGGTGATGTGGGTGTGTTTGGAGGACTTGGTCAGAAGCCAAGCACAGGCATTCTGAACCACCTGTAGACGGTTCAGGGAGGTTCTGCTCAGACACGTGAAAAGAGAGTTACAGTAGTCTAAGCAGGGATCCACTAGGCCACCATTTCTGTCTATTTTTGTGTCCATTGTTTTTCTTGTCATGCACCTTGTGATATGTATCCTGAATGACACTATACAAGTAATCTCTTATTTTTCCTGTTTTTTTTTCAAAGTGCCTTTTTTTTTGTTATTTTGCGTACATCTGCATTAAAGTTGCGTTAGACCAGTTTTCGCGTTCCTCTCCGGAAATTGTCTGCTCTTGATTCATGGACCTGTATATACATCTGCAATTATACACTTCACACTTTAAAATGGTCTGCTAAATTGCACAGCTAATAGAACTTTAAGATAGCTACTATAGGTACTTTATGCACAGTGTTCTATAATTTTATCTTCTCCGTGGCCTTTAGACTTCCTTAACCGAACAACGTTTGCATTGCGATGGTATTCCACCGTTAATCTTCCTGTAGTTCAATCCTTTAACTATTTTAGCTTATAGTTTCTTGGTTGTATTGTTTGCAGTAGTAGATTTGGAATTAGACGTATAAGATTGACTCAGCTAGTTGTGTGCGTGACAAAAACACAGCAGCGGATTTGTCCTTGGATTGAGAATCAAGACAACATAAAAGCCAGTAAATGGTGTAAATTTCTTAATTTGATTGTAAAAATCTATGAATTACATCCAAGTGAAGATTTCACTTTGATTACCTAACATGACAGATTTGCTTAACACTTTAAAAAGGGACAATTTTCACATGAGTACATTTTTGACCATTATGTCAAGAATCTCAATTCCAGAAATACCATTTCCCAAAACAAGACAAGCCGCAGTAGGACTGTTTCTGTAGGATATTTGTGCCATTTAAATGTATGAATGCAGAACATAGACATCTTATTATATACTCACGGATGTTGTCTGTGTTCTCTTGCACGATGTCGGTCTTTAGCAGGTTGTCAGCCAAAACGAAAGCGCCCTGCTCCACTGTGTCCAGCAGCATGGTGGCGGCCCTCAGCTGCTCGCCTGTGCTCAGCTCCCTCCAAGCCGCCTGGGCCTGTGGCTGCAGCAAATTGTTCACCGTCTCCACCATGGCCTGGGGAGTAGAAAAGATTGATTTAGTGGAAAGGGGAAAAAACTGAGGTGGCTCGGGACAGCGGCTGTTTGACATGGTGATTTGGTAAGTGGTAAGAGTAAGGGGGAGATCAAAGAGAGTTCAGCACTGAGAAAACAAATCCCACAATCCAGTGGGACAACACAGGAAAGATAAATGATCTTCTCCTTATTTTCTCTCATTTCATGTGAAAAGTTTGCAATTTCCGAATCTGTGTTCATCTTTATTAACATGGATGTCCAGCAACTATCAGCAGAAGTTGCCATCTTGTGGTTTCCGGCCTTTTCTTTTTATCTACAGGACAAATTAATCATGTAAAATGAATCACAACCAAATGCTTACAAGACTAGAGGCCAATTCCTGCATGACTTGAGGCTAAAGTCTTTAATTGTTGTGATAAATGATCCTACAAGCAGACAATCCTGGGAACACAAATGCTTTCGAAATAAACAAAGTAATGCGGCGGCAAGACAGTCCTGTGGGTGTAAAAAGGTATTTGCTGGTAGCAAACTATTTGCAACCATTTAGTTCCAATCTCCCCTGCATAATAATAGCATTGAACGACTATTACGCCTTCTTTAATCTCCCCACAACAGTGCTGAAGTGAAGCAGGAAGGAAGGAGGGATTAAAAAAAAAGACAAGTGAACGTCCTCAAGACAAGATGAAAAATTAAGAGCCATTAAAGATTTAAAACATGCCAATGGCAAGATTTATGAATGGAATACTAATTGGTCAAGCAAAGCAATTCATTCCTAGTAACACCGTCACCACCCCATAGAGAAAACCCAGCCTGGATGCTCCTGACAAAAGTACCAATCCATGAGTTATTAAAGTACAGCAGGTGGTCAAACATGTCGTTATTAGAAATGTTATCTGCTGGTAACTTTTCCACACATTAAGCTGCATATTTATATGTGTAGAACTTAACGCTTTAACTGTGAAACTCCCCTTGGACCTCCATGAAAGTCAGGTTTTAAACTTGTCCCTGAAGATGCTTAAAAGTAGGCAGCGCTACAAAACTCTGTGTGCATATTTTCCTTGGAAATCACTGTCGATGAACAGATTATAAAAAGAAATAAGACATTCACTCAGACAAAACAGGGATTAAGCTAAAGAGGATAAGAAAAAAAGTCGTGTTTGGGATCAGTTCTAGATTACTGAAAAAGTACATTATTAGGGATAAGTGCAAAGAAATCCCCAGTTACATTTTTATTATGTTTGTTATAAAAAAACTAAAACAACATTAGATAGAGGACTGATTTTATTTAAATTAATTTCACAGCAGAAGGTGCTTCATTGTTCAGAAATACACACACATGCATACAATCTGATGCAAGAGAGAGCACACACATCTCAACACCTGCTAGAGCACAGGTACGCCAAGGTAGCAGAGCGTGCACCAGCTACACGTGCACAGCCAGTCTACCAACTTTGATGTAATTATTCATTATCTGCACCCAATCTCCAATCACACCTTTTGACATTCAGCTCCAAGCAGAGGTTGATTCACTCTCAATTAAGGCGCTCTTTTCAGGCACTGACATTTTTTCTTGCCTTTGTTCACAACTTCAAGATATTTTTTTCCTCCTCGCCTTTTAGAAACACTGAAATAATAGTTCTTCAGGGTCAGAGAAGATGGGGTTGCAGTGGAGTGTCTTGTCTTTGCACATATAGAGGAGATACACAATGTTTTTTGTAAGGTGGTAGAATTTCTAACAAAAGGCAAATGACAAATATTCCTATCAAAAGAGGGTGGGATACATGAGGTCCAACGAACATTATAAGTCAAGTATTTTTAGTACCTTCGCGTTTTTAGAATAAGACGATGGTAAAAATGAAACTGACTCATTATGCATCATTTGGATGAAGCTAATCGTATTACAGGGATAACAAATACTCTGGTATTACTTGAAGTAATTCACCTACTATATTTCATTAGCCTGACAAGCCATCCTATGTGAATATATAGACTGGCCACAACCTATTGACAGATCTCAGTCGTAGGGCGAGATCTGCTGTTGTCTTTCAAACTGTTGCCGCATGCTATTGGACGTACTCACAGCTATGGATGTCAGTCAGTGGGACAGTCCACCATACTCTGTTAAAGATGCAAATACAGCATTTTTCTAAATAAAAGACTTGAGTATCTGCTCTTGACTCAAAGAAAAGCCCAAACGTAAATAGTCCAAAGTTGATGCCAAAGCCGCCATCTTAGTTGTTCCGCTCCATTGCATCATCCCACCAAACCGATACAGCCATTTCAGTTTCCTAGAAAAAACATTTTCAGTATTTCATGCAATCTCACCGTGAGTGATTTGTCAGCACACTGAGTATGAGTTATAAATGATTGTCAGCCATCAATGCTGAATTTGAACCATTTGCATGTATGTCAATTAGACTTGATAACCAAATTTGATTGGGTTGACTTCAAAAGTCAATGCCAGAGTGCTGAGATCTTGGTAAATGTGTACTGCCCAGAATAGTTGTTGTAAATGGCACTTATCAGATCACCGGAGGAACAATCAATATCTGTAATAATGTACTTTTTTGCACCACTTGTTGAATTATTAGATGTCACCAAGTTGTCCCTAAACACATGTACCGGTAGCATGTTTACCACGCAGAATGGAACATGAGTCGATTAAGTCCCACCACCTCAGGGGGACAGTTTAAATAACTTAAGGAGATGGTTTTGTTGTGTTGGATCACCATTAACGACACAGTTTCCTAAGATGATGCATCCATTTCTAGTTCATTATTTTTAGCAAAACCACATATTTAACTATGCAAAGTGGCTTTCTTTCAAATTCATAAAAAAAAAATCACTTATTTTTGCCATTCTCCAAAAAAGCCATTTAACTCTGTAAAAGGTAAGCCATACCCACTTGGAAGTTGTATCACAAGGATGCTATTGAAACTTACATTTTGTTGTTTAAAAAGGAGAGAACATTTTGGAATCATAATGCCTATTATAATTGCCATTTATTAATTTAATTATTTGGTTTTACTTGCCTAGTTTTTAATACCCATCAATGTTTTCTTTGATTTCTGTGAGGCTTTTGTTGCTTTTTGGTTCCATTGTTTTATTTTGAAGTATTTTGTCCAACAAAGGTTGTTGGCTGACGTAGAAGTTCGAAAGTAAAATGCCTTTATCAATCAGTGTGTGTCTCTCTTTTGCTGATGGATAAGTATAAATTAAGCATAAGGCTCCCATAAATACATTAAAATATATTTTTTGATTGGCACGGCAACAATTAGGAACTACTATCATCATGTTATTATTTTAGTATTTTCTTTAATCTGAATTGGTCCATCTTTATGTTTGATCCTCATTCTGAGAGAAATAGAACGTTGTTTCACTGAGCAAAAGAGGTAATAAAGTACTTCATATTTACAGGCAGCAAAATGTCAAAACCAACTTGGTAAGCTTGGTTTCTATAATAAATTCAGTTAGGCGTGTAGTTAGTGGTGCAGTTCATTTTAAAATGAAAATAGATGGGTTGAACCTGCACAATAAATAATATTAAATTGACTAATAGACTCCCAGAAGGCACTCATGCCATGACATTCTTACAAAGCCAGAGCTTGTTTGTTCCATTTTTCACTGACCAACCACATTGTGGATTCCTTCAACAAAACAGATGTTTTGAGACTGGATCTCTTCAAGATGCATCTCTTTTATTTAACTGTACATAATTTATATTTTTGGGTGTTATTAATACTCCAACTTTCAATCTTCCATACTGTTTATCTTTGATGAATGAATAGCAACCATGAAGGCATATAAAACCCTTGGACTATTATTTCCTGTTACATGAGAGTTGTTACTTAACCTGAGTCACCGGAGGAATGCTCCACTCTAAAAGCAGATGATGGCTGGTTGTGAAAAGCTGCAGCACACGGTCCATTTGTACCAACGTAGAAAGAACGGAGAGAAGGCAGCGGTGGACATTAGGGCTTGGCGGGATGCCAAGCCAAGCCGTGGTGTGTGCGCCTCTATCTGTGCGCTGATTGATGAAATGAACTCTGGGTCTAGGAAATTGATTCTGGCTGAGGCTGATCTGCCTCTCTTCACATTCTGGCCGGCTATGTGCACTTACTTTTTACTCCCCTGGTTTCTCTGCACTCCTCCCTTCCTGTTAACCGCTCGGTCGCTGTCACACGTGTCATGTGTGACATTGAGTGGTGATCCATGCTTTCGTTCTTTTTTAAACACAGAAACAGTTTTGTTTACCTGTTTGTAGCTACAGTTTCGCCGACGGCTGCCGGCTTCTTCAGACTGACGCTGATGGTGGCGCGTCACTTCCTTCTCCGTTTATCTGCGGGCAGCAGAGGACGTTGTCGCCCTCTACTGCCCGCTCTCCCCTCTCCGACGATGCAGTCCCATGCGTGGTCCAGCGTGTAAACTCCGTCGTCCCTGTTCATGGTCCCACATCCACGTCTCCTTATCTCGATTGCTTCCTTGATCCATCTTTTGTATTTTTGTTGTTCGGTGGTTATGATCCGTGTGTTGTCCCAGTCCATTATATGATTTTCTCTTAAGCAATGATTAAGCAGTGGGACCATGAACAGGGACGACGGAGTTTACACGCTGGACCACGCATGGGACTGCATCGTCGGAGAGGGGAGAGCGGGCAGTAGAGGGCGACAACGTCCTCTGCTGCCCGCAGATAAACGGAGAAGGAAGTGACGCGCCACCATCAGCGTCAGCCTGAAGAAGCCGGCAGCCGTCGGCGAAACTGTAGCTACAAACAGGTAAACAAAACTGTTTCTGTGTTTAAAAAAGAACGAAAGCATGGATTTAGAAAGACACAGCAAGAACACACCTAAGATGTTCATTGAGTGGTGATCTCAAGATCAACGGACAATAACAGGAAAATTATGATATATGTTTTTTGTTTCCCTTTTCCTCTTTGTCTTCTTCCATCTAAGTAGATATCTCCTGGTACATTTGTGCCTGCTGCAGCTTTTCTGACGTTTA